CAATCAATCAATAGGCGGACACACACACACACACACTCGCAAGAGAGGAGAGGTCAGTGAGAAAATGTACGCGGCACGGAGAGAAAAGAGATTCGCGCGGTTCGCGCGTCCGAGAGAGAGAGAGAGAGAATGCGGCGGCGCGCGCGGCGACACAGCAGCACCGCGCGAGTATCTCATTATGCCGCTTTATTTTCGCTTGCGAACATTTTCGCGCTGCTGCATGTCGTCCCGTGACGACTATGCGTCGGTCCGCAAAAAATAAAAAAAAAACACAAAAAACAAAAACTCATGTAAGTACGCGCGGCAGCCTTATAGCCTTCTGCCACTTCTGCAGAGCACCGGCATTCCGATATAGTACTGGGTGAATCGCATAATAGAGAAGACGCAGCAGGTTCAGGTGGGGTTTGTCCACCAAAGGGGCTGAAGGCGCCTTGCGGACATAGCGAGTAGGCAAACCGAGAGGCAAACCCACCGGCACCTGCGTCTTAATTCTCTGAATCACCCGGTACCCTATATACAGTCGAGCACCAGCCGAGCTGGTCCTTCCCTTTCGCGCCCAAACAGCGGGTCTCCCCCGGCTCGCCCACCATTGAGGCAATGATGGGGAGGGAGGCGGCGGCGGCAGCGGCGGCGTTTCCGTGCGTACGCCAGCAGGCCAGGGTGAGGGAAGGAAGGAAGGAGGAGAGGGAGGGAGAGAGAGAGAGGGAGACAGAAAGAGGCATTCGCCCGCTACTTTCACATTTGCTGTCCGGTGAGAGAGACAAAGACGGAGAATGGCACACCGTTACGTCAGGGCGGCCGGGCCGGACAGGTAATCGCTTCGGTAATCGTCACGCCCTGCCCCGCCCCGCCACCACGGCGCGCGAGGAGTGGGGCGGCCCCACGCGGCGGGCACGCGCACGCGACCCCGACATGGGCGCGACACCGCGCTTTTATATCACAACAGCGCAGAGGAGTGTCGTGTCGTGCACTATTAAAAAGCTTACGGGTGAACATTTTTCGCAGTCGGTAACGGTGATGCGCACCCCGAACCCCCCGCGTAGCTTAATGCAGTGAGTTTCGCGCTGTAGCCGTGAGCTGCAGCTTACGGCGAATATTCACCGTCACCGTGAAAAACATCTTCGTAAATTTACAGCAAATTTAGTATTTCCGATTTTCAAAGTGTTGAAAATTTACGACAGCCCATGTTCCTGCTCGTCAATAAACTCCAATTCGATACAGAATTTTACAATTATTTCAATTTGTATAATTTTGCAAAACAAAACACATCATGGAAAATTTCCCTGCAACCCTTCAAGTTGTTTTCACACAATCGTAACTTCGTTGCACAGTGCTGCATAGGTAAACTGTAATGGTAATATAGTAATATGAGTGGAACTCATAGGATGAGCCTTTTATTTTTACTGTGTGCGGCGTTGGCCGGCGTGGCGTGGCAAATAAAAAAGCGCGAGAATCGGTGGCATGGATCGCTCACTGGCGTTATCGCCCTCACCCACGGCGCGTTATGTCACTGGCTCATGTCGCACACCGCGCGGTTCGCAGCACAGTGCATACAATAACTGACCCAGCCAACAGCGCAAAACAACGCGTAGAAGCGGCACTAAACGAAAATTTATTTTCTACATCCCCGCTCAGTGTGCACACTGTAAAAAGCTTACGAACTAAATGCTTTGCAACGTTACGAACAATTTTCGTTCTTTGTATTGCAAAGAAATTGTTCGTGTTGCAAAGCGGTTGTTTGTACGGCTAGACAGGTTCTTACGAACAATCGGTTTGCATTACGAACTACTTGTTCGCAAGCTTACGAAGAATGAGTTCGTAATACAACGCTTCAAATTCCTTCGTAAGCTACGAAGGCAGGCGTCTCAGACTGTAACGTCACGCGGGCCGCGGACCTCTCACTCGCACTCACTGCGATCACATAGCTCCATCTCTCTCCAGTGCGGCCTTTGCGGCCCGCGGGCCGTGTGTCTGAGACCCCTGTACGAAGGTTTTGGTTTGCATTACGAACCTATTGTCCGTAAACAATTTACAGTGTGTTGAGTAGGTCGCGGCAGGGATGTGTGTGTATGGGCATTCGCTTGTCTTTCTGTCCAGTTATTTGCTTGCTATCTCTCGTCAATCAGCGATAATAGAAAGATACGATACAACACGGTCCGTTGCCCGGTGGTGTACTGTTATAATACTCTCTCGGAATTTCAAACCGCCGGCTTCCGGGCCGGCACGCGGGGGGTGATCGGCAGCTCAGCTCGTCGGCAAAGCGCCTCGCGTTTCTGCCGAGGTTTCTGCCGGTTTCTGCCAACCGGGCGCGTTATCAAACGCGGGCAGAGACGGCAGACAGTCCGACCGGAGCGAACGGCCCGCGACGGCCCGGGGAACAAAAAAACAGAGGGAATCGACGAACCGCACCGCAAGCGCAGCAGCGCTGCATTCAAGGTACTTAATGGTTCTCCCTTCTCCACCACACTAAATAAAATAATTGAGTTGCGACCATTTCAGTGCTTTAAT